TAGCGCTTATTGATTCAGGGCGGCTACGCCGCTACGAACAAAAAAAAAACATTTATCCGTTAGACTATGTTTAGATTCTCACCCAAGGTATTACTATCCTTGTTATGTACCGAACGTTAAATAAGGATGACATGATATCCGGAGAACACCCGGGGGAGAATCTAAACACGAGCCTTGGGGACTAACCGCATAGAAGTTGCAGCCTAGACAGTGTCCACTTGGAATATTTCTAACCTATGAAGACAGTGGAGTATGAGAACAGTCTTTTTAGAGCGGTCTTTTTACTGTCTAGGTTACAACTTCTAGGCAGTTAGGCCCCAAGCGGATTAGAATGTTATTTTTATTTTTGTTCGGGGCAGCGTGTAGTCGCAAATAAGCACTAATCTATACACTCCATTGTCTACATGACAGATTAATCGCGTAACACTTTAGTCAACTTTAATGTTCAATATTTTGCTTCGCAGAATAGTCCCGGATTTTTTTTACCAGATTTTTTCATTTTACGCAAAAATGCGACGAATGAGCCTAATTTCATCAAAATTGAAGGTAGCTCTTCTAAAAAATTATCTTCATTTTGTCTCTATGACAGATTTCCTAATCTCAATAGTTATCAACTTTAATGCTTAATATCTCGAATCATAGGGCAGAGCGACGTTTTTTTTCAGATTCTTTCATTTCATGCAAAACCGCATTGAATAAGCCTAATTTTAATGATTTTTGAGGTAATTATGCTAAACTGTATAATTACCGAAAAGTGTTGCTCTGTGCCGAATTGAGATATTAAACGTTAAATTTTAAAAGTTAACGACTATTGAGGTTAGGAAATCTGTCACAGCCACGAAATACGGCGATGCAAAACATGTGCTACTCACAAAATCGCTACTTTAAAATAAATTCTCAGCGGAATTCTATAAAGTGGCGTCTACAATTACTATGTTTACACAACACGCTTTAAGAATCCTTTTCATACGCCGCTAAAATGCTAGTTTTTTTTTTAGCGTCAAAAGGATCACATGACCATAATTGTTGTCACCAACAACTGAAATCCATGAAAAGGATTTAAGGTGCAGCCACAATAGAAGGAATAAAGAATTAGGAATAAGGAATAAAGCTTTCAACCTATCAGATATTAGATACACTGGAATACACGGTTTCTGATAGGTTGGAATCCTTATTTCTTAATCCGCCGCATCATTACAGTGTCGAATTTTGAGCGATAACTTAACCTATTTTGAAGCGATAGTATATAATAGTTTGAGACTCTCAAATATCATAGTAATTTGATCAATGTTAATATTATAAACTTTAATTTATAAATTCAGTGTATTTAATAACATTGATAAATGAAAAATAACATATAATGTAAAAAAAAACAATATATAATATAATAAATAAAAATTATGCATATGCGTCCAAAGCATCGTATATCTAAAACCTTTTTTATTATCTCTCGCCGTTTGCGTAAAGCCAATTCTCGCAGCTGACATCCTAATATTAACAAAAACGAATTGATTTCATTTGGAACTGGAATAGGTGGAAGATTAATAAGTATATCGTTATCGTTGCACAATACATTTGCAATTTTATCTATTGCCTTGACAGACTTTCCAGAATTACTCTTCTTTCTTTTCTTGCGAGGCCCACTATCTATAAAAAAAATAAACATTGTGAACAATAAGTCACATTACTATGTTCTAATATTCATTAATAATATAGAAAATTGATAATTTTATATTCTTTTATATTTATTGGTTTTAATATTTGTACAATATTAGAGAATATATTTTATGTTCAATCAATACATACTTGATTCAATGTTTAACATTATCTTCAAAATCATTTATATCAATATTACTCATGGTGCTATAAATATTAAAATTATTATTACAGATTGTATCAAGTATAATATTTTTGATATTTATATAAAATATATAATTCTTACGTTTTCAACAAGCAAGAATATCATAAAAATTCCATTGAGTCGTAATGAAGCCATTTATTTCCATTATTTTTTCGAGTAGATCCACTGGCGCTAGTTTCTGATTTAATTATTCGGTGTGTATCATGTAAGCTTTTAAATTTTATTTTCACTGGCTGTAATTTTCTTATTTAAAGCATTTGTTACTTCTTGCCATAAATTTTTTGTAATTTTTATGTTGCGTAGTGATAATGGAAGTTTATCAAAGTTTTTTAAAGAGGTTCTTGTAACTGGAATTCTAAAATGAGAGTTTCTTCATCATCATGATTAAGTTTTGCTTTCAAGCCTTTATCTGAATTTCTTTGTTTCTCACAAGAATTTTGTTCAGATAATATTCCTTGTATGGGCATAAAAAAATATTTAAATACAAAACTTAAATACACTAGAATAAAAAAATTTTCATTATTTTAATACAATTATTAAATTTAATAACTATATTTTTGCTTGGCACTTTGCTTTTTATTACGGTCACTCCTTCATCTGTAAGATATTAAATAATAACATGTATTAAATTAAGTAAATAAAAAGAAATATTAAATAATAAAACGTCTATCTTTTAATAACAGTTATAGAAGCTAACTTACTTAATATAAAAATATAATGTATCAGGTTTAGTTATGGACTGTATATAATCTTTTAAACAAGCATGATTCGCAATATTTGCTTGCTCGCAAATTATTTCATACAACTCGCACGTTTGTACGAAATTGAGGGTTTTATCCTGAAAAATATATTAAATTTAATGCTACAAATATTTCTAAATTATTTTTAATTTATTAGTGTTGTTATTTTATATTTTAGCTAATTATAATCTTTCAGTACTGGTAAAATTGTTATAATATATGTAAAGGTTATAATATATGTATGTATTTTTAAGATATATTATTTGGTTTGTATGATATTATTGAAGATCGTAAAATTTAGAAGATGTAAAATTTGTAAAAATTAATTATGTACATCAAAGTCCATTTTTTATTTTAAATCGAGATCAATCGAAATAATATAGCTCGAACTCAATCAAGATGAACACAGATCCAGCGACGATGCTAATTGATAGACAAATTCAATTTTACTTCTTTGATGCTAGCGTCAAGCAGAATGGTCACGTGACATCTTTTGACACCGAGAAATGAGCGTCAAGTGTCAGCATAACATGGCACCTTTACGCCGAAGTTATAATCTCGATGTTATGAAACTGGCCAATCACAGTCATTTTATTCTTCAGAGGAATAGCTATGATTGGCCAGTTTCATAACATTGATGTTATAATTTCGGCATAAAGTGTGTTGTGTAACAGAGGTCAATGAGGCTAGAGTCTTATGAGGTGTATTTATTGCGTATCGCGTTATGGTTTCGGGTTTTATTGATTACTAATTGGTTACACGATACGCGATATGCGGCATATATGCCTCAGATTGATGTCCTATGCAGCGAATCGTGCGTAAGCGTATTCGCGTATCGCCAATCACAGAATCATTCTTTTAGATCTGGTTGCAAATTTAAGAGAAACAGATCAGAGAATGATTCTGTGATTGGTGAGATTTGCATGAGACATCATTCTCATGAAGACTTTACT